CTAAATATGCATGATCTGCTTACTATGCTTCTTAAGGCTGAATACAATATATAAAAGTAAAGAAATGATTCAGGTATGGATTCATTAGAAAACTATTAAAGGGCCAGTCCACTAAAACATGATAAGCAAAGGACAAGAAGTGTGGTGCCAAACTATTTGGTGGACTGACCCTTTACATTTTTTCTAAGAAGCACCTCTTTTGATTAAATATTTATAACATTTTTATATTTCTTATGTATATAATATACTGTATACACAGTATGTATATATATATCCTATATCCTGCCATCAGCTAATAATGGAATCTTCTACTCTTCCTACCACTCCATCCCCCACAGTTACTACCTTTTGTACCACTAGCCCCTCCCTCCTAGATTGTAAGCTCCCAGGATCAGGGCCCTCCTATCCCTCTTGTATTGAACTGTATTGTTGCTGTATTGTCTCCCGTTATATTGTAAAGCGCTGAGCAGACTGTTGGCGCCATAAATCCTGTGTAATAATAATAATATATAAATCCTGTACAATAATAATAATATATAAATCCTGTACAATAATAATAATATATATATATATATATATATATACACAGACACACACAAATTAAAAGAACACTTTGTAATCCGAGTCTAGCATCAAGACAGTGACACTCCTGGGATATTGATCTGGTCAGTGTAGCAAAGGGGGTTGTTAATCTGTTTCGGCTGCTTTGGTGTTACTGAAATGGACAACAGGTGCACTAGATGGGCAACAATGAGACAACCCCCAAAACAGGAATGGTTTTACAGGTGGAGGCCATTTATAGTTTTTTTTTCCTACTCATCTTTTCTGACTGTTTTTCACTAGTTCTGCATTTGGCTAGGGTCAGTGTCACTACTGGTAGCATGAGGCCATACCTGGACCCTACAGAGGTTGCACAGGCAGTCCAGCTCCTCCAGGATGGCACATCAATACGCGCCATTGACAGAAGGTTTGCTGTGCCTCCCAGCACAGTCTCAAGAGCATGGAGGAGATTCCAGGAGACAGGAAGTTACTCTAGGAGAGCTGGACAGGGCCGTAGAAGGTCCTTAACCCATCAGCAGGACTGGTATCTGCTCCTTTGTGCAAGGAGGAACAGGATGAGCCCTGCCAGAGCCCTACAAAATGACCTCCAGCAGGCCACTGGTGGGAATGTCTCTGACCAAATAATCAGAAACAGACTTCATGAGGGTGGCCTGAGGGCCCGACGTCCTCTAGTGGGCCCTGTGCTCACTGCCCGGCACCATAGAGCTGGATTGGCATTTGCCATTGAGCACCAGAATTGGCAGGTCCACCACTGGCGCCCTGTGCTTTTCACAGATGAGAGCAGGTTCACCCTGAGCACATGTGACAGACGTGAAAGGGTCTGGAGAAGCCGTGGAGAACGTTCTGCTGCCTGTAACATGGTTCAGCATGACTGTTTTTGGTGGTGGGTCAGTGATGGTCTGGGGAGGCATATCCATGGAGGGACGCACAGACCTCTACAGGCTAGACAATGGCACCCTGACTGCCATTAGGTATTGGGATGAAATCCTTGAACCCATTGTCAGACCCTACGCTGGTGCAGTGGGTCCTGGGTTCCTCCTGGTGCAGGACAATGCCCGGCCTCATGTGGTGAGGGTATGCAGGCAGCTCCTGGAGGATGAGGGAATTGAAACCATTGAATAGCCCAGAACACCTCTGGGATGTCATGTTTCGGTCCATCCAACGCTGCCAGATTGCACCTCAGACTGTCCAGGAGCTCAGTGATGTCCTGGTCCAGATCTGGAAGGAAATCCCCCAGGATGCCATCCGTGGTCTCAATAGGAGCCTCCCCTGATGTTGTCAGGCATGCATACAAGCAAGTGGGGGCCATACAAACTACTGAGGACCATTCTGAGTTGCTGAAATGACGCCTGCTGCATCATTTTTTCACTTTGATTTTCGGGGTGTCTTTGAATTCAGTCCTCTGTAGGTCGATCATTTTCATTTCCATCAAACGATGGGGCGTCCTTACATTCCTAACACATTACCCGTCCATGTCAGGATAGAGATCCAGCAGGAGATTCTTCCCCATTGAGATCTGATGGGTTTCCAAAGTGTTCCTTTCATTTTTTTGAGCAGTATATATATATATAAAAATCAGCTCTTGATAGAGGATTCCAACTTTTTTCCCCCTTATTTATTTTCATATATCAGACCGAATCTAGGGCTAAAATATCACTTTTTAGTGTTTTTAGTGCAAGGAAACATAAAATAACAGCTTATGCTAAACTATTTGCTGGCCTGACCTTTTAATAACTTCCTAAGGGACACCTCTCCTGATTAATTATTCATTCAATTTGTATATCTTTCTTGTGTATATAATAGAATGTTCTATATACATTTTACACTATATGCATGCACTGGTATATATATATATGGGACACCACCCTTGATTACTTATTTATAAAATGTTTACATTTTTATATGTTCATTCAGTATATAAATATAAAATAGAAATAATAAAATAAAAATAAAAGTAAATAGAAATAATTAAATATACTGTAAATAATAATAGAGAGAGTATAAATAATAAAGTAGTAAAAAAAAATAGTGTGTATGTATATATCATCTTACCTTGGAATAGATTTGTTTCTGGACATTTCAATTTAGGTGTAGTGCTTCAATCCCAGATTCCTTAAAACAATCTGACCTATAAGCCCCCCAGCTAGTTGCTTGATTACCCCTCTGGTCTCTCTGGAATCTACATCCAAAGAGACAATGGAATTCCTTTGCTGGGGAGAAGCTTCCATCCTGGCCTGCCCAAGTACCTCTACACCCCCTATAACATTCGGGGTAATCATAGGGTCCCAGCACTGACCCTCCAGATTTGATTCCTGACATTAGGATAGGAGGTTAGAGAGGTGAGCTCCATTTTTTAACTTCTATTTATACATTTTTGGTATATTAGTATATTTATATACTTGCCTTTTCATACTTTTGGTTTGAAGTATAAACTTTGTCTTTTTTAAAAAATAAACTTTAGAGATAAGGGCTGGTTGGATGCGGTTACTGCATTAGTTTTCTCTTTATAGGCATTTATTTCCTTTAGTTTCACCTGTAAATCCTGCCAGTAACACACTTCCTATCCTGTGGTGACAACGCTCACTCACCCTACTGTATCAGGATGATGGGAAAAGGACAGGATGACTGAAACCTCCTCTTCTTCACTCCTCCATAAATAGATGGGCCAGGTCCTGTAGACCACAGAAGTACGGGAAGTTATAGACTTCTGTAGGAGGAGGTGTTCTATTTCTTTATTCTGTTTATTCTTTTTTTTCTATTGGTTGAACCAGAAGGACTTGTGTCTTTTTTTCAACCTAACTCTTTTATCAGCTGATAGCATTGATGGCAGGATCAATATACAATATATATATATATATATATATATATATATATATATGTGTGTGTGTATATACATATATATATATATATATATACACTGTGTATATATATACTGTGTGTGTGTATATATATATAAATATATATATATATACTGTGTGTGTGTATATATGTATATATATATATATATACTGTGTGTGTGTATATATTTATATATAATATATATATATATATATATATATATATATATATATTTATATATTTATTTTATTTAATATTTTAATTTATTTATTTTAATATTTTATATTTTTTCCGTCCAATATTAATATATATTTAAACTATATATATATATATATATATATATTTATTTATTTATTTATTTGCCATAATTATATATATATATTATGTGTATAAAAAAAAAACACTGGCAATGGTTTATTGAACAGACTGAACTGGAGAAGTTCATTGTTAAGGAATATGTAACTCCAACATCATTTCATATTCCTGATATGTGCCTGCTGTACCATGTACTTGTATGAAAAAGTATACTGTTGCATTTATTGCCTCCTTTGTGTGCAATCCCTGGTGTTCCTGTCAGTCCCCCCTGCTTTCCTATTAAAAACTGACCACGCTAGGCATGAGAACACATTCCTCCCAATGTGGTCAGTTTTTTGGCTGTGCTGGATTCACAGCCTGCCTGTCCTCCAATCCTCCAATGGGCTGACACCACCCCCTCTCTGTACAGCCGTCCACTGGGAAGATCAGTGTACTGCTGTTTTTATGCCTCCTGAAGACATGCCCGGCTGCAGGCTCCACCCCCAGCTTTCTAAGTCCCTTATGCAGCTGAGAACATTATAAAAAGAAACAAAAGAAAAGGTATTAATAATGTTTTTTATATCAACGCACACGGTTTGACTTCTGTTTCTATTTTAAACTGAAAGGGTTGCTTTTCATGGTGAGGGTTCACTGCTCAGAGAAGAGCCACAGAGGGAGTGTATTGATTTTAATAAGTTATTGGACCCCTAGATTTGCGTTGTGAGAAGGAGCAGTAAAGCACATTTACTGTGTAGCGGAATGAGAGTCTGTAATCAGCCATGATGACGGCCCTTGTGCACATTCGCAATTAGTATTATAAGTATTTATTTATGCGACCCTTTCCATTCACATCAGTCCCTGCTCTGGAGAAGCTTACAATCAGAGGTCCCGATCTCACATATTAGGGCTAATTAACCTACGAGCATGTCAGGGGAAACCCACACAAGCACAGGGAGAACATGCAAACTCCATGCAGAAAGTATAAGATTTAGACCATGGACCCCAGTGCTGCAAGGAAGAATGGCTAACCACTGAGCCACTGCTGCCCTGTTTCAAATAATTCGTAGAAACTTAATTTTGAAACAATAACACACATTGATACAGTTATACATATCTAATAAAGCAATCCGTAGACTTAAAGTGTTACTAAACCCCGGACCCTGCATTCATTATATCCGCTCTCCCCGGACCCCGCATTCACTATATCCGCTCTCCCCGGACCCTGCATTCACTATATCCGCTCTCCCCGGACCCCACATTCACTTTATCCCGCTCTCCCCGGACCCCGCATTCATTATATCCACTCTCCCCGGACCCCGCATTCACTATATCCGCTCTCCCCGACCCTGCATTCACTATATCCGCTCTCCCCGGACCCCGCATTCACTTTATCCGCTCTCCCCGGACCCCGCATTCACTATATCCGCTCTCCCTGGACCCTGCATTCACTATATCCGGTCTCCCCGGACCCCGCATTCACTATATCCGCTCTCCCCGGACCCTGCATTCACTATATCCGCTCTCCCCGGACCCCGCATTCACTTTATCCGCTCTCCCCGGACCCCGCATTCACTATATCCGCTCTCCCCGGACCCCGCATTCATTATATCCACTCTCCCCGGACCCTGCATTCACTATATCCGCTCTCCCCGGACCCCGAATTCACTATATCTGCTCTCCCCGGACCCCGCATTCACTTTATCCGCTCTCCCCGGACCCCGCATTCACTATATCCGCTCTCCCCGGACCCTGCATTCATTATATCCGCTCTCCCCGGACCCTGCATTCATTATATCCGCTCTCCCCGGACCCTGCATTCATTATATCCGCTGTCCCCGGACCCTGCATTCACTATATCCGCTCTCCCCGGACCCTGCATTCACTATATCCGCTCTCCCCGGACCCCGCATTCACTATATCCGCTCTCCCCCAGACCCAGCATTCACTATATCTGGTCTCCCCGGACCCTGCATTCACTATA